CTCCGTGTTTACTTTGTTTCAAGATGATCAGTGGGCATATTAACATCAAAACAAGCTCAACTTAATCACATTTTGATTATATTTTTTATCTGATTGTTTGGAAAGGGGTCGAGCCCTGTTCAACAAAATATTTATCTGATTGTTTACATTAAAATTAACTCTGTTCAGCCTTTCCATCGAGTATTGAGTTCTGCAAGCAGTAAAGGTAGAAGCGTCGCCGGGGTGCTGGAGGCGAACTTTATCAAGCCCACTCATGACAAACAAGACTTTGAGAAGTCACAGCTGTATCAGAAGCTGATCATTCGCTTGAAAGACATGACAACTGAGTACTGGTAACTCCTGTTTTTGCTTCTGTTTCGTCCAAATCCACAACCACCAAAGTCTGCTTCTGTTCTGTAATCAGTATTTCCACTTGCTTTCAGGGATTTGCATAGTCACCTGATTGGATACCAAAAGAAACCCTGTGCATCCATTTCTCCCACCCCTCCTGGAATGCTTACAGGATCAGACACCGTTGCTGAACCGTCCGAGAGGAATGCAGCCGGTGCCGTTCTCTCTATGGCGCCCTGGAGAGGCGGCACCCGTGATAACCCCTCATGTGCTATTCCGATCGCGTTTGCTCCTCCGCACCTATCGGTTCCTGCCGGAACCAGCGTGCCAGGTGCGCAGATGGCGCCTGACACTGATTCAACGGAGACAAGAAAAAGGAGAAACGAGGATGCTGTCCAGATGGATCCGTGCAAGAGGCAGGCCATACAAAGTTTGGAGGTCGATAATCAGGTTAGTCTATGTTCCATTGCTAGGTTTTTACAGGCTTACAGCATTGGTCGATCCTGTGCCTCTGTGGATGATCCACCTTGACAGAGGTGTCCTCCACCTACCACTGCAACAGCACTTGATTAACTTACAACTTTGTACTTAAGAGTTGCTGCCTTTGAATGCCACAGGTTTGCCAACACATGACAGAAGGAGATCTGAATGAGTACACGCACTTGAAGGTAGAGAATCAGCAGCTCCATGAAGAGTGAGTTCGAAAACCACCTGCCGCCTTTTTTAGCAAACACCGGTAATTTTGGCTAAATTTCATGAAATTTGTTGTTTCTAGATGCTTGGAGTTGGAGGTGGCTGAGAAGGAGCTTTTGCTAAAGGTATTGCCATGGTCATCATCAGTAGTACAAACATTTTTGCTTAAACCGCACTTTGCTGATGGAAGTTGCGAACTTATAATTTTCTTGCGTGTCCAGGAGCAACAGTTGAGGCTCCAAATTCAGCAGGCGGAGGCGCAATACAAGAGTTTACTGAACGAGTACATTTCCGCCACTCCTGTGAGGACGCGCATGCGGTAGATGTCACTGGCCTTGGTTTTCTTCCACAAAACGAAGACGAAGAATCGCAAACACTTCAGAGGAAGTTGAACCTGAACTTACGATGGCTAGCAATTTAGCATGATGAAGGGCTGAGCTAGGGGAATACGCCCGTTACGAGGAACGCTGATGATCGGTTGGACTGGTGTTTCATCTCCCCTGTTTGTCATATGCCGACCACAGTGGGTTTTGTAATATGTACCCGTGTATACTGTGTACATGCAGTTTTAAATTGATACGTTCAACTCTGGCAGACTCTTTAGAAGGGCACCCTGAGTGGTCTTGGAGGGATCTCTAAAACTGTTTTAGAGGTTTTGCAGCCCTTTGCTATTTCAGATTAGTATCTACTCCCTCTGTTCCTAAATATATGACGTTTGAACTGCCAAAACGTCATATATTTAGGAACCGAGGGAGTATATTTTTTCCTCTTAGTTTTCCAATAGGTATCTTATATGCATATATGAACTTCATTTCAACTCCAATTTGACATTACTGTGTTTCAGTGTCACACAATTCAACAGCATTTCAAAATGTATATTTTTCAATGTTCCTTGCTTGCATTGTCCCCCTGTATTAGCCGCCTGGAATGTGATTTCGTCCCCTCCCCTTCTCTCCATTAACTCAGATCAAATCTTATCAATATCAACTCAATCAAATAAAATAAAATCTTACCATAATCTCAATAAAAATCAAAACTTTCCTTGCATTCTCCCGCCCATACCCAAATCAAATTAAACCTCAACTACATCAAAACTTTCCTTGCTTTTCCTTACCCATAACCAAATCAAATCAAATCTCATGCAAACCTGAACTAAATTAAAACTTTCCTTGCCTTCCACCCATACTCAAATCAAATCTCACAAAAAATCCCAAATATGATGGTTGTAACGTACACGTCGGACATGATTGATGTTGAACCACGAGAATATGTACGATTGCCATTGCAGCAATTAGTTAGCAATGATAGCTTGGGTCGCTGGCGGTGTCGAAGGAGAAAATCTCCATGACGGCCTTTCCCTTCACGGGCTCGACAATGCCCTCCTCATCTATCCTAGCCTTTTAACTCAGCGAGTGTGGCATGCGCCTCCCTCTTCCAAGCCTCGGCCTCAACTGGCAAGAAGCTACGAGACGGGGTGCCGACATGGAGAGACATGCAGAGACAAAGGTGGAGAAGCGATGTGTTTCGGGGACATATATGCGCGCTATTAGGAACCACGATGTGGCGTCAGGGATAGCGATTAGATCAATGACGAGGCGGGGAGGCATGAGGGAATGTTGGCGCGGGTGGCAAACATCATGGGTGGCGATGGGGCAGCTTCACTTTGCGAATCTCGCCCGTCCGACACCGGGCACAACTTCTTCCAACGCCACCATTGGCTAGCAGCCCAGCTGGGGAGATTGTTGGCCTGTTGGAACCAACCCAATTTAGGATGTTGCTCTTGGATCGTGTGATGGGGCTCGGGCGTCAATGTTGTCGCCACATCGGGGGTGGGCTTCTCCTTTAGGTGAGCTCGATGCTCCTGGCTGGCAGCGAGGGAATTGCACCGAAGGAACAATATCCGGCGGGGGAGAGACTGGGATGGCCCTATCTGCCGACCGAGAGGCTCACATGCCGGCGACGGGGGGTAGCTGGGCGTGGTGGCGGGGACCGACGTAGCTGAACGAGGGGTAGGGTTACAAGAGGGAGAGCTGCCGAGGGAGATGGGTGTAGAGATTCATGAGAGATGTCAAGGGATGTGTTTCCCCTCTTTTAGAGCCTGTCCGGGACTGCTCCGTGTCACCAAAATCAGCTGCACTCCATCAAATTTACTTTGGAGTGGTTTCATACAAGAGTTATAGCTCCACCAAAGAGCAATTTATCATGTTTGGCTTTTAGCTTTAAGAATAAGAAATTTGATGGAAATGATCTTTTGATTGGACTAGTAAATATGTACGTGCAATGCACGTTGATATTAGGTAATATATTAATTACATGTAAATATTAGGTAGGATATTATTTGCGTATTAATTATGTGATTAGCATGTGCATTAATATTTGGTATGATATTAGCTGCACACTAAACGTGTTGAGCGCTCATCATTGGAGCAGCCTGAGTCGTTGGATTGACCTAATTTGATGGCCGGGATTTGTTGGATCTGCCCATTTGGGTCTTTTTATATTGTTATAGATATAGATGATATGGGAAAACAAAGGGGTGTCCACTTACGGGTGGTAGTGGTTGGTGATTCCATCCAACTCCAGCTTCTAGAGTTTTTGGAGCACCCTTGAGGCCCCGATTGGATTGTTGTTTATTTCCTACACCCGTAAATTCCTACGTCTGGATTTTACTGGTCCCCAACGAAATACATTCCATGAGTGGTATTTGCAAAACGGATGGGCTGAGGAGTGTATCAGAAACCAGCCCACTACAGATACGGGCGTAATAATTACGTTCTGGAAACAACATTCCAAGCGCGCGGACTGCTCATCCATCGTTTTCTTAACAAAGGTGTATTTTACAAGTGTAACCAGCTGGAAAATGACACTCCAAACGCGGCCTGAAGAGTTTTAGAAAAAAAACGGGGAGTTCTAGTTCTTTTTGTGGGGTTGGCCCGTTTGGTTTGTATTTTCTTGTGCAGAGCTAAATTTTATAGTGCAGAAACTCCCCAAAAAAGCTCCGAAACTGCTGTACACACGACATATAGGGTGAACGACCCTTGCACGATGGTCCATCCAGCGGTTTGCAGACAACTGTTGCCATGCATGGACGGCTTAAATGGATTGTCGTTCAATAATCGTCTACCTACTGTCGTCTGTATAGCAGTGCTGAAAAAGCTCTTAAGGTAGGGTAGAAGGCACCGATTGATGGAGTTCGAGTCGGCTGCGCACGTGGAGTTTGTTGAGGTGGAAGCTGAAGAGGATCCGGACAATGCCCTTACCCCACCTTTCTCTAAATATAAATACTACTCCCCCTGTAAAGAAATATAAGAGCATTCCGTGATCTAAATGCTTTTATATTTCTTTACGGAGGGAGTGGGAGGGGTCCTTTCTCTAAATATAAATACAAGGAGGGGCCCATTCTCTAAATATAAATACAAGGAGGGGCCTTAGGGAATCTTTTTGAGTAGTATTTCTTCAATTTATTTTGACATTTTTTCAGGTAGGGGGCCATAGAAAGTCGTAGAGCGCCCCCTCGTGGTTCCCGTTTGGTGATACTTGGCGTCGAAGTCACCCGCGGCCGTCACCTTTTTTTTTTCTGCCGCGGCCCTCACTCGTGGTCCGTCGCGCAGCGCGGGCGATTACCACATGAGCCCAAGCCCTGCCGCCTCCCGTGCGCCTCGCGGATCTTCATCCATCCCGGACCGCCTGCCCTCGTCGCCTGGCGCCACGCGCGCCCACAAGAACCCTCTCGACACGGGGCCGGGCACCCCCCTATCCCTTCCCCGATTCGAGCGAGCCCGACGCCCCCCACCGACCGCGCCTTCCCCACCACACCGCAGCTCCGGCGGGCCCAAACCAAATCAATCGCCGGATCCC